GCGATTGGGGGTGCTTGTTCTAGGGGTGTTGCGACTGGGGGTGCTGGTTCTTGGGGTGCTGTGACTGGGGGAGCTAACTTTGGAGGTACTGCTGGTGCTGGAGGTACTTGAGGTACTGCTGGAGGTGCTGGAGGTGCTGCCGGTGCTGGAGGTACTAGCGGTGCTGCTGGTGCTGGAGGTGCTGGAGCTACTAGTGCTAGAGGTGCAACTGGTGCCGGAGGTGCTGGACCTACTAGTCCTGGAGGTACAGCTGGTGCTGGAGGTGCTGGAGGTGCTGCTGGTGCTGGAGGCGCTGGAGCTGGAGGTACTGGAGGTGCTGGAGCTCCTGGTCCTGGAGGTGCTCGTAATGGAGGTGCTGGAGCTGCCGGAGCTGGTGGTGCTGTTCGTGCTGGAGGTGCTACTAGAGCTGCTGGCAGTGGAGGTACTGGAGGTACTGCTGGTGCTGGAGGTGCTAGAGCTTCCGGAGCAGGTTGTACTGCTGGTGCTGGAGGTGCTGGAGGTGCTATAGGAGCTGCTGGAACTGGAGTTGCTGGAGGTACTGCTGGTGCTGGAGGCGCTGGAGCTTGAGTTACTGGAGGTACTGGAGGTGCTGGAGCTGCTGGTCCTGGAGGTGCTCGTACTAGAGGTGCTGGAGCTGCCGGAGCAGGTGGTGCTGCTAATGCTGGAGGTGCTAGAGGTGCTACTAGAGCTACTGGCACTGGAGGTGCTGGAGGTACTACTAGTGCTAGAGGTCCTGGTGCTGCTGGTGCTGGAGGTGCTGGAGGTGCTGGAGGTGCTGGAGGTGATGGAGGTGCTACTGGAGCTGCTGGTGCTGGAGGTGCTGGTGCTGCTGGTGCTGGAGGAGCTGGAGCTGCTGGTTCTGCCCCGTGTCGACTTTTTTTCTACCCACAGCCGCAGTCGTCCCTGCCGCCACCTGACTCGGTCCTTTGCCAAATTCTTAGTCTCCCGTCTTCCACTGGCCTCACTCCACCTCTCCTGTGTTCACAGACAGACTAGTCTCCGCCATAGCTACTGCCTAGCTCCACGCTGCCTGCTCCTGCTCCTCACACTGAGGTGACTGAGTCCGTGACTGAGCGTCGTGAGCCTGAGACTCGTGCTTCCACACCTGTTCGTGCTCGTCGTGTCGCCCGTCCTCGTCCTCCTGCTGTCCCAAGCACTCACGGTATGGCACTTCGTCCTTCCTCTGTTCCACAGCGTGATGTCCTGCCTGAGCCTCCCGCGTCCTCTATCCCGCACGTTCCTGACCCTGAGTCCGACCTTTCTCGTGCTGCCAGTCCTACAACCACTCGTCTCCTCGCTACTGTCGTCACTGACCCTGACCTTGAGTCTACTGCAGCGTTCGCCCTAGTCACTGAGGTAGTCTACTTTGTAGCTAGGAATCATTTCGACTACGTCGCGAGTCTTGTCACTGAGTCTGAGTCTATCTATCCTCCGTCTGTCGGGGGTGAGCCTGCCCTTAGCAGTGACGTACTTGAGGACAGACAGTTGGAGCTTGAGTGTCTTGCGTCCACTTTACCTCGTTTCGCATCCATGCTGCTTTGCCCTGAGGGAGACCCGGATGCACTTGACATCCCTACCCCGCGCTCTTATGCTGAGGCGATCGCGGGTGAGTAATCCTCTCAGTGGCAGACAGCCATGGACGCAGAGATGGCTTCCTGGAAGTCCACAGGCACCTACGTCGACGAGGTTCCTCCTACTGGGGCGAACATAGTCGATGGCATGTGGATTTTCATAGTGAAACGGCCGCCGGGTTCTCTCCCTGCCTTCAAGGCACGTTACGTTGCTCGAGGCTTCAGTCAGTGACAGGGGGTCGACTTCTTCCAGACCTTCTCCCCCACCCCGAAGATGACTACTCTTCGGGTGCTGCTGCACATTGCAGCACAGTGTGACTACGAGCTGCACTCCCTCGACTTCTCCACAGCTTTCCTGCAGGGCAGCCTTCATGAGGAGATCTAGCTGCGCCACCCACCCGGCTTCACTGGGTCGTTTCCTGCGAGTACCCAGTGGAGCCTCCGTCGGCCAGTCTACGGTCTCCGCCAGGCACCACGAGAGTGGCACGACACACTGAGGACTACACTTGCAGCTCTTGGGTTTGCTCCTTCCTCTGCTGACCCGTCACTGTTTCTACACACCGACACTACCCTGCCGCCGTTCTACGTTCTGGTGTACGTCGACAACTTGGCTTTTGCTACTGCTGACACTGAGGCGCTGGCCCTAGTGAAGGCGGAGCTGCTGGAGAGACACACCTGCACTGACTTGGGTGAGCTGCGTAGCTATCTTGGCTTGCAGATCACCCGGGACAGAGCACGGCGCACCATCACCCTGACTCAGTCACACATGGTGCACCTAGTCCTTCAACACTTCAGCTTCCAGTTCTCCTCGCCACAGCCCACTCCTCTGTCTACCGGCCACTCGCTCTCAGCTCCACCTTCGGACGAGTCCGTAGAGCCGAGTGGTCTGTACCCAGAGCTCGTGGGTTGCCTCATGTACTTGATGACGTGCACACGACCTGACCTCGCGTACCCTCTCAGCCTCCTGGCTCGCTACGTGGCTCCCGGTAGACACCGAAAGGTGCATTGGGATGCTGCGAAGAAGGTACTGCGTTACTTGTGCAGTACATCGGGCATGGGGCTCGTACTTGGAGGAGAGGGTTCACTGGTACTCACAGGACACTCCGACGCTTCTTGGGCCGACGACCAGGCCACTCAGCGTTTGTCGCAGGGTTACACCTTCAGCCTTGGCTCTGGTTCTGTCTCGTGGAGGTCCACTCGTTCTTCTTCTGTGCTTAGTTCCATATGTGAGGCCGAGATCTACACTGGGGCCATGAGTGCACAGGAGCTACTCTGGCTGACATACTTGCTGACCGACTTGGGGGAGCGACCTTGTTCTCTTCCAGTTCTGTACGTCGACAACAAGGCAATGCTTGCCTTGTGTCACGAGCAGAGAATGGAGCACAGAACAAAGCACATTTGTCTTCGCTACTTCCTTGCGCGTGAGCTGCAGCAGCGTCGTCAGCTCCTCCTTCCTCGCGGGCCAACACTGCTGATGTGTTCACCAAGACCCTTGGGTCTGGTGATCATCAGCGTTTCTGCACTGCTCTTGGGCTTGTGCCCACTCTGCCTCACCTGCTGGTTGCTTGAGTTGCTCTTGTTGTACACTGATATATATTTTTATACCTGCTTGTTTACTCTTGCTAGGTTGTGATCAGGGTACTGCCTTGCTATTATAACTCTACATGTGAACTGGCCTTGTGGCCGCTTGCTTGTGCTCAAATTGTGTGGTGTCCTTGAGATCCACCCTGAGCTTTGGTTTGCTTTGTTCTCTTGCTTGACTGGTCTTGTGACTGTCTGTTGTGTTTGATATCTCCCACTTAGCCTATGGGGGTGTTTCAAACTATATGTTTATGTTCTCTCTATGCTATAGTGGGTTAGCCTACAAGGGGTACAACACTTTAGGGCTAGTACTTGTACCCAACTCATTCATAGTTTATTCATTTCCTGCACAATTATTCTGACAAAAACATCCGCCTACCCATCACTTCAAAACTCCGCCCTCGATATTGCGGGCCATTTCGCATCAGCCACATGATCACCCACGTCACTGCCCACCTCCTCCTCCCTGCTGACTGGTACGTGATTCGCTGGAAAGACTGCACGCTCACCGAGGACAACTGGGTGCCCCTGAATATAATTGAAAGTCACCTCGTCCTCACCGAGTATCTCCGCAGCCGCAATTTTCGAGATGTACCCGCACTCTCATAAGGAGGGCCTCCTTGGGGAGGTTATTAGTGTAAGGAATATTCCTTTTCCTTACTTCGCGCCCATGCATAACGCGTACACGGCGGTTCCCGCCAACGGCACCCAACAGTGAAACGTTACCCGCTCACGACGCTCGCATCGATCATTGCTCCCGCCACGGTACACCTCGCGACCCAACTTCACGGTTCGGTTGGTATCCCGCACTCCGGCCCTCCGCCTCGACAATTCCCAACCTCGGCGCTAGGCCCGTAGCGCACCCCATTTTCTCACGATACCGTTACCACGCCAGCTTCGCTATATATTCTTCGCTCATGCCTTCGCCCAATGGACTGTTTTGCTTCGATAGTACAATTCTCGCTCGCTCACTCAATTGCACTCGTAACACAGCCTCAGACTTTACGCATAGCTTACACCGCTATCCATATATCAGCTCCTAGTAAAATAGATCCAGATACGAAGAATATTTTTTTTGTTAACATTAGAGTTCGGTGTCGGATCCAACTATTTCTTCTCCTCTGGTATCATGTGCATCAAACTAATGCAAATGCAAATTCATGTAGCTGCATTGATATAGAAATAATTACATCATGATAGTCAGCTAGTCATTATACTAACCAACCACCTATCATAAGTTCAATTCAGGAATCTCTATCTTGTGGCTCCACCTGAAATTCTTGTCCTACTGTAACAGCTACTCTGCGCACTTCGGATTCTTTCGCCAACTAGCCAGTTTTACCCAACGGAACATTTGGGCCGACCATGATTTTTTCATTGGTTGGCGCCGTTGCCCGCCGGCCCGTAGAATGCGCTCGAGGCACATTTGCTGCAGATCAGTGGCGATCCGCGGCCCTCACTGAATCTTTTGTGCCCAACGTGCTCACTCCGCAGCGACACCGATGTTCCCGCTTGCCGACTAACCGAACCGCGAAGGCGCCAAATTTCGAAGGCGAAAATTCGCCAACCCGCGACACCCGCTCAGCAAATTTCTTTGGCCCTTCCCATTCCAAACCCTCCTCCCGCAGGCACCCGACTGAGATTCCGACCATTCTTCATCCATACAAATTCGAAGCTGTCACACCCCCAAGCTCACCATTCATCCCTTCCCCACTTCCAGCTTTCCAATCCCCAAACACACGGCTTGACAGCTCCTCCTCTCGCTTGCTCTTCTCGGATTCTTTCACTCCAGACCAACTCGTAAGAGCCGAGAAGTTTTGTTCTCGCCGAATCCTTCTTTCTGCAGCCATGGCCGTTTCTCGATCTGCTCTGTTCCTCCTCGCTCTCGTGGGCTTGGCCGTTGTCTGCTCGGCTCAATCACCCACGCCCAAAACAACAACTTCCCCCAAGACCGGGGGAGCACCATCTCCGCCTGCCGGGAAGGCGCCGCTGACGCCGTTCGACGAGGCCATTCAGAAGCTCAACAACTCGGGTTACACCAGCTTCGTCTCCCTCGTCAACGCCTATGGTACGAACCGCGAAGCACTGCGAAGTCCCGCGACGAGGCACGAGCTTCGTGGTTGAATCACCGAATTTACACATCTTCGTTTCCGAATTCAAAGCGTCGCATTGTCTCACAGTGCCTCTAATCATCTTCTAAATCTCATCCCGCGGCGCTTAAATTCTCTCTCTCTCTCCATCCCACCCTTCTCGCAGGCAAGATGAAGGAGGTCAAAGCGGCTCTCTCCAAGCCGCTCACCATGCTGGTGCCGTCGAACGCGGCGATCAGCAAGCTCAAGATCACGCAGTACAAGTCAACGGAGTTGATGGTGGTCGTCGGATTCTCCGCCTTCAGGAAGGTGATTCCCTCCGATGCGCTCCAGACCCTGCCCGTGGGGAGCAACATCACGACGCTCGCGAGCACCAAGGCCGGCAAGCCCATGACTCTGCAGAAGCTGGCGAACAACAAGAAGGGGCAGGTGGTGCTGCAAGGGAAGAAGGGCAGCACGATGACAATCACCAAGCTTAACTTCTACCTCAAACCCAACAAGCTCGTCGTGCACACCACGGATGCCGTCGCGTTCCCCATCACCCTCCAGGGCACGGTCCTGTAACTCAGGCAACAGACGTGCAAAGCAGCAGTGGCGCATTGACAGGGAAGATAATAAATGGGGCATGCGAATCGGTAACGACTTAGTTGCTCATTCTGAGTTAGATGTTAGGATAGGACTACGGATACCGTAGAAGAATGTGTCCTGTCCATGTGATTTTATACGATTTCGATTTTTTGTGCGAAATACCCAAGTGTCTTTCTGTATTGGCCAATCCGGACATTGCTAAGCGAGGTACTTCACACATCCGGAAATTACTTCACATCATTTTTCTGTTCCGGCACATTTTTCCACACCATTTTTCTTTTAGACTCCGATCATTTGTGTGATCTTCACCTCACCTGTGCTTTTGTCAAGGCTGCAAAGTGAATGAAAATGGTCGTATGCACGAGGCTCGCGTGTTCTATCATAATAAGTTTATGAGACGTTTGAAGCATGATTTGCTGCCTGGGACGGATACACCAGATCCCGGATGCACGGAAGCATGATTTATCACTGGTACTACTTACAGCTTATAATCATGCAACTTCAACCAGAGCTTTTCATTAAGTTAATCTCCACAGTAAGCCCTAGTTACCGGCAAGAGACTTTCTTTCAATGCAAATGGAAAATAAAAATATTAGACAGCAAACGTTACAATTTCACATGTTTCAGACTCTTGATCAACTAACAAATCTACATTCTCGTCATCCGCTGAATCTGCTAGTTTGCCCAAAACGAGCTGTCACTTATTAGCGCCAACGTATGAGCACAAGCTTGAAACTCCCAGCTTTGTGCAACCTGACATGTTTTTTTCTCCAGGATTCATAGCCGGCTATGCCCACGGTCGCGTCACTTCATTCCAGCGGGGAACACGATCGCATCCGTCGTGTGCACGGCCAGCTTCCCGGATTTTAGGTAAAAGTCGCCCTTAGTGATAATCAGCTTGCTCCCGGGCTTGCCCTGCATCGCCACCCAGTGCGCCTTGGGCGGGGAGAGCTTCGTAAGCATCAGCGTCTTCTTGGACTTGAGGTCCGTGGAGAGCGTCGCGAGCGTCGCGTTCTTCGCGAAACTTCGCAGCTTCTGGAAGGGAATGACTCCTTTAATGGCGTTGAACATGACAATCGTGGAGAGCTGCGCTGTAGAGTAACTCGTTATCTTGACCTTGGCAATGGCGGCGTTGCTGGGGACGAGCACGGTGAGCGGCTTGGAAAGAGCCGCCTTGACCTGCTTCATCTTGCCTGCAATGGGGAGGTAGTGACAGAAGAAAATGGAGCAGGTTAGAATATTCATATATTCAGAGAAAAAGGCGGCGAAGTTAGTTGCACAGCGCGGAATGCGGCGAAACCAATCAATAAAGTGAAACGGTAGTGAGGGGGGAAATGCAGTTGGAAGCTATTTTGAGGAAAAGTGAAAGCCTCAGAAAAATGGAGGTTGAATGCACCATGCGAAAGCTGGTGTGTGACGAAAGGTAACGGGGGCCTACCATAAGCGCTGACGAGGGAGACGAAGCTTGTGTAACCCGAGTTGTTCAGCTTCTGAACGGCTTCGTCAAACGGCGAGAGAGGCATGGGCGACAGAGCAGAGGCGAAAATTGCACATCCAGCGAGAACCACGAAGACCAGGGGGATGAAGGCTTTTGAGCGAGAGATGGGGATGGCCATGGCGCAGAAAGCTTTTGTTCGGTCGCTGATGGATGAGTGAATTCGTCGCAGAGAGAAGCTGTTCGTGAGTTGCGCTGGAGTTGGCGATGAGTGAGAGTCGCACTTCACGCTTATATGCTTGCTGGGAATGGAAGATTTTTTTACAACCACCCTTCAATCTGCTGCGACGCTTCCGACAAATAGCCGACACAATTCGAGCGTTACAGTACTGCCTTTGCGGCTTGGGCCGACGAAGTGCTGCGTGAGCGAAGTCATTCGAATACCTTGAACCAGGGGGAGGCGACGCTCTAACGACTGTTTTGCAGTCGTCCGTCGCAGATGGTTCCATCGCAGGTGCGACAGATTGCATCACCGACAACTGCTGGCACGCAGTTTTCTACATTGTAAGAACGGCTTCACTCTTTCCCGAATGTTACTGCAAATGAAGAATGCGCAAAAACTAAGACGCTAAATCTAAGCCGCCCTTGTTGTAAAATCATAAATCTCAAGTCATTAGAAAAATTTGAAGTATTATATGTAGCATAAAATTAATTTTATTATTCCTTCAAAATATTGTTTTTGCAATGTTCATTAACTTCACGAAATACTCCCAAGATTTCACTGGCTCTCCTATAACCAATAGCATGCTACACTATGAATGCATGCCAGAATGGGCTGAAATAAACCACAAACCCTTCACTTCCCTTTATTTTCCATGCACCACCACACTGGCGGACTGTCTCGGCCCTCCACATAACTTACCTATCTAATCGAAACCCGACTCTTGAAGCTGGGACCCTGCATCCTGGGAACCGCGAGTTAGAGTCCAGCTGTGTTTCGAACACCTTGTAGTGTGGCACATTGGTGCTAGCTACTGTGCATGCGAGTAACCACGGATCCTCTAAGTCGGCAGTAGCCTAGATCCGCTGCTGCATTCCCTTGCCCGCCGTCTCACGGATATCCGTTCGCCAGTATGTCCGCGTTAGGTCTTTCCGCCGCTTTCCCGGCCTCCGCTCACCTGAGCGTCTCCGCGGAACCCGCGCACTTGCGCCTGCCCGGGGGACGCGCCATTCCATCCGCATGGAAACCCACCCCTTTGTCGTCGCTGACGTCTTCCCGATCAGCGGCGTCGCGACGCGCAGGCCTCGCGATCCGCTCTTCCGCTGCCGCGGGAGCGGACGCCGCGGCGGGAGATGCGGCGGGAAGTGCGGCGCAGGGCGGGATGACGTACAAGGACGCAGGCGTTGATATCGATGCGGGTGCTGAGCTGGTGCGGCGCATCGCCAAGATGACACCTGGCATCGGCGGATTCGGCGGGCTGTACCCGTTTGGTGAGATCCGATAAGAACGCTCACATTGTGGCCCTCGCGACCTTTCACCTGTTTTTGTTGTGTTCTGTACTTGTAGTTTTTCCCGGTTGTTAAAAAAGCACTTGTTTCTTTCTAAGCGAATTTTGGAATGTTCACTGTTTCAGGGGACGACTACCTTGTAGCGGGTACGGACGGGGTGGGCACGAAGCTGAAGCTGGCGTTCGCGATGGACAAGCACGACACCATCGGAATTGACCTGGTGAGTGACTGGCGTTGACTGGCGTTGACTGACGTTGACCGCCATTGACTGCTGTTGACTGGCGTTCGCGATGGACAAGCACGACACCATTGGCATCGACAAGGTGAGTGACCCGTTGACTGGCGTTGACGGGCGATGACGGGCGTTGACTGCTTCTGACTGGCGTTGATTGGCGTCGACTGGAGTTCGCGAAGGGCAAGCACGACACCGCCTGTTGACTGCCGTTGACTGGCGCCTGCCGTTCTCATCCCACTCATGCTACTCGTCGCCTGCCATTCCCCTCGCCTTTCGCCACCCCACCCCACCCCACCCCACCAGGTGGCAATGAGTGACATCGACATCATCACATCCGGTGCTCGCCCGCTCTTCTTCCTCTGTTCCACATGCCACTCCCCAATCACCGCTCCACTCACCCCATCCCACACCATCCCACCCCACCCCAACGCACCCCACCGCACTCCACCGCACCCCACCCCACCAGGTTGCAATGAGTGTCAATGACATCATCACGTCCGGCGCTCGCCCGCTCTTCTTCCTCGACTACTTCGCTTCCAGCAAGCTGGAGGTGGACCAGGCCGAGCAGGTGGGAAGTGGTTCTGTGTGGTGCTGTGCGGTGAAGAAGGGGTGAAAGGAGTGGTAGCAGGCATGAGGTAGGCAGGCGCGCCCTCTCTTCTTCCAAGCTGGAGGTGGACCTGGCTGAGCAGGTGAGATGCTGTGCGATGCTGTGCAGTGCTGAAGGGCTTAAACGGGCTGTAGCTGGCGTGAGCTAGCCACCCTCGCTTCCAGCAAGCTAGAGGCGGACCAAGCCGAGCAGGTGCGATCAGAGTGGTGGTGAGCGGTGCTAAAGGGTGTAGAGGGATTGTAGCAGACAGTACGTGGTATATGCCTTCTGGGGGGTATCTGCCTCATCAACCACATCACCCCTCTGTACCACGTCCATCTCCCCACATCATGTCATCGAGGGTATCTTGGATGGGTGCAACTTGCAAGCAGCCCGACTCTGTTGTGCTGCTGCTGCTGCTGCTGCTGCTGCTGCTGCTGCTGCTGCTGCTGCTGCTGCTGCTGCTGCTGCTGCTGCTGCTGCATTCATAGTAGCACCTCTCCTCCTCTCCCTGTTGCCACCAACCCCACCATCTCCCCCTTTCGTCCTCCCCCCCCCAATCTCCCCATCAGGTCATCAAGGGAATCGTGGACGGGTGCAAGTGTGTGCCGCTGCTGCTGATGCACTTGTGTGAATATGCAATACACATGTGATACCTTCAATCCTCTCCTTGCCACCATCTCCTCCCCACCACCCCCACCACCCACATCAGGTCATCAAGGGAATTGTGGACGGGTGCAAGCAATCAAACTGTGTGCTGCTGGGAGGGGAGGTGCGTGGGACAGGGAATTGGGTTTGTAGCAATGAAAAAAAAAAAAAAAAAAGTGTGTGATGTGATGCTGCTGCTGCTGCACGCGTGTCTGGTCTGGTCTGGCAACGAGGAGTCCGACTTTTGAGACGTCTCAAAAGTGTTGCTGCAGTGGTGATGAATGAATGTGTCACAATTAGTTGCAATTGACAATGAATGTGCACATTGGCAGGACTGCTTTTAAAAGGATACTTAGCTGCTGCAAGCAGTCTTGCCAAACCATTTTGCTTCCGATCAAGATTGGGGTGGGTGGGTCAGGAAGTGCAACCATTCCTGCTGCTCGTCTGGCCTCGCAACGACAATTGCGTCTAGGGGGTTAGCTGGTGCTGATTGATTGCAGCAGCTAACCCCTGACTGTCGTTGCGAACCGAGACTGGTTAGCTGCTTCAATCAGTCTCGGCTG